AAAACTCACTGTGCATGTTTTTAAATCACCACTAATTAGGAGTAAGTTAGAACATGCAAGTTAATTGATAAGCGAGTAAGAAATATTTAGGGGAAAATCTGCACGGTGTTACTCTCCTTTACATTCATATATGAGTCCTTACTATAAAGAATTGTCCTATGCCTGATAATCGATACAAAAATTGTACTAACAGCTTCTGCTTAGCAAGATTGTAAGGAAAGAGGCAGGGTTTTTCTAATGTCGCCAAAAAAAGCCCAATAATCCACTGAAGTCCTGAGCCCCATCTTCTTTTATTTTTATTGGTGAGTTTAATACAAGATGCTGCCTGTCTCTAAATACCTGGCTTTATTCCTACGCTTCTAGAGTATCATAGTTGCAGGCAGCTACAGTGTTACAGCACATCTCATTTTTCCTCAGTCTTATTGACTAAGTCCTTATATGTAATGATCATTTCTTATTAACTCTTTTTATTTCTCTGGACTCTAAGGATTTATTTTTTTTAACTATCTTACTGCTGATAAGAGAACTTTAAAATATTGAACCCTTGCTATTTCAATCAATTACTGATTTAATTTTCTTAGTTTTTCAAAGTCCAAAGTGCAGAAGTGAAAGCACATTATATATTCACTTTTCATAAAGCCAGAACTGATTTTCTTGAACAAGCATAATTACATAAACTTTTGTGTAACAGTACTCAGGTTATTAAGTGGTTTTAAGGTTGTACTGTAAGTGGAATATTTAAGGAACATCTACTTCATCTTTCTGCTTTCATATTATATCACTTCTTCAAAACAAGAGAAGTATTAAAATTAAGAGTATTCCATGTTAATTGGGAAAAGTAATTTATAGAATGTATGTTGGAATTTTATAAAGTATTAGAAGTACTTTTGATGCATGCAGATAAGTGTAAATCCTGTAGTGTGTTTAAGCATTTCCATCAGCAAAAAAGTCTGCATCAAGTTGACCCACTAAAACTCAGTGGCATATTGGAAAGATTAATTGAATCAACTGTGGATCATGGTCTTTCTAAATGACACTTTGCAGGTGGAGAACTCCTTTCCCAGTGGATATTTTAGTATTCTGATTAGAAAGATACTAAAAGTATTGCAATTTCTGTCTTAATCTCTTTCTCATTGTCACTGTGAGAGGTTTTCTGATAGTCTGTGTCATAGGCTGGAGGTAAAACTTGAACATTTTTGGTTTATTCCACAATGTTGCTGTAATAATATAGGATTAGGTTTATTTAGCAGTGGGATCAAATCAGTCTCCTCAGTCAGCTGTGTGTACAAACTACCTTTCTTGGAATAAGTGTTCTTTCAATTCTAGGCAGCATAAAGGATATATTCAGTACTTTCTCTGTCTTTAAACTTGTTGCTATTTAGCTTTATTAGGTGAAGAAGAAGCTGTTGTGATTTTAAAAACTAGCAATAAGTTTTCAGTGCTTCATCTGAAAAGAAGCATTCAGCTCTTTGAGTAAAATGTAAGAACAGATCTAACCTCTTTCTATATTGTAATTACCTTGAAGAAGACATATGATAAGAGTAGAAACTGTAAGGAAGAATAAAAGGATAAACAAGGTTTAGGAATGTAATAAAACAATAATTATTCATACATTAGAAGTTGTTTGCTTGCAATTAATGTTAATATTTTCTTCCTCCTCCTGTGTCTTATTCTGATTTCCACCAAGTAAAAGCTCTTTGTACAATTTTATGTTGTTTAATGATACTAACTTTACTAATAGACATGCTTATTGCATAAGTATTTCTTGATGAGTTCATAATACCTAGCAGGTAATCATGATGCTTCCTCACCAGTATTTTACTTTAAATTGATCACTTTTCTTACAGTGATCAAAAAGACAACGCTAACATTTATCATTCAACACACCTTTACATACATAAATACAGTCACATATACGTGTTTCATTTTCAAATTAAGATAGCCAGCAAACATTACAATTTTTTTTCTTATATTCAGCTTTTAGTGAGTCTTCATATTTTTAGTCATCATATTTTAAAAAGTTATTTTTCTCTGTAATAGTCTTCTTTGAATTCTAGCTTGGTATTAATAAAAAAGAGACCCTTCAGGAACTCAGACAGATTTCTCCAGCAACATTTTAGCTAATTTTACTGGAAGCATTCCATGAACTTCTGAATGGGGTGCTATACAACGTTATAGAAGTGCATGAAAGATCTTTTCTGCAAAACCTCTCCTTGGATTGCGTGTCTTTAATGTGTTTTGTTTGAAGTAGTAAGGAGACAATTTATTCAACAAAATGTCTTCCTAACCATGCCAAAATTAAGCTTTCAGAGAGAAAAAGAAAATATGCAAATTTCTGGATATTCTGATAATACCGAGGGGTGAAAATATCCCTTTCATGTATGATTTTTATTTATACATAATTCAGAGTCTTCACACGACTACCATTACTATCCTTGTCAATCTGTGCAGTTTCAAAGACTAAGTTTAACAAAAGTTTGAGGTATTTATTTGCAGAATCTGAAGAGTAGAGATGCAGACTTTACCTGTGTCAACTTCTATCTTGCAAAGTAGATTTTGCTGAATAGGGAGGAAAGAACTGCTGATTCTCTATCACCTTTACCAGCAGAGGATCAGTTCCACTGTTTTTGGGGGCAGCTTTAATTTTCAAATGAAAACTTCAAGGATGCTTTTGGTGGATGCTGTTTAGAAAATACCCTCGTATCTTGTCACGTCACAATAGTGTTGCCAACGTTTTTTGGTAACTGCTGCAATTATATTTCAGGATGAAAGGGAGAATGTGTATTTTCTGCTCACTGTACTAACTTGTAGCATCTGAGGGACCCATCATTTTGCCAAGGGTAGTTATGCAGTACAGTTTGATGTTGTCTTTTTAAACAACATTTTATGTGTGCCTAAAGGTTTATGAAACTTTCTGCTTTTTTGTTTTCCTGAAGGAGTTGCGTCTCTTGGGTTGAAAACACTTAAGTACATATCTTAAGCTTCCTGAGTATTTAGTAAATAGATACTGCTTTTAATTGAGCTGTGCTGATGCACTGCAATAAATACAAGAAATATATGAATCAAATAGGACAAAGAAAACTCAGTGACCTTTCTAGTTGTTTTGACCACATGTGGTATGTGACATTTTATCTTATGTTTGCATGTGAGGTGATTCTAATCTACAGCTTTTTCTAAAGTACTGGCATGTCAAGTTAATAGTTTACAGCCACACCTTTACTGCTTTTTACACAAGTTGAAAAACACACCTTTAGCAACTCTGAAGCAGGGAAGGAGTAACGGTAGATCTGAATAGCCAAAGAGCTCTTCTGTAAAAGCAGAAGAGCGACTGTATTGCATCAGACCAAAGTTCCATCTAGTGCACGTTATCTCTCACAGGGACTAGCAGACAATGCTCAAAGGAAAAACATAAACGGAGAAAGCATGTGGACCTGCTTCCCCATGTATCCTGTTGGTCTTTAGTCATTTGTAGTTTAGGGACTTTCTGTTTTCTAATGTTTAGTAACCCTGAGAGAAAGTTTTTCTTGTGATTTAATCCAATCTCTGCTGAAGCCTGTGTGAAATTTTAACATCCAAAACACGCCATGGCAAAGAGTTGAACAGCTTCACTGTGTTCTGCATGAAGAATCATTTCCCCTTGCTTATTTTGAATCTGCTGTCTCTGAACTTCTGTTGATACCCCTTACCTTTTGACTACTCATTACTGTCTTCAGCATTTAAATACTGTGACAGTGGGCACTAGAAATTACTAAGGTAGATAAATTAGGTGTTTTATAATTATTATTATTTTGATTTTTAACATCTGGAATCTAAAATCTGTATAAACTCTGGGCGTTTTGGTTTTTGGAAGCAGATGTTCACTGTAGTTCTTTTCAACATGTTTCTGCTTTTGTCTCTGACATCCTACTGTAATGGATTAAAATAAGCAAATTGGCAACTACTCAGACCTTTAAATAAACTTTAGTAAGTTGGAGAATCATTGAATCTCTTGTGGCGCCAAACCAGCAGCTATCTATATATATGTTTCTTTTCCTCTTATGCAAGAGTTGTTTGCCCTCTATTTATTAAAATCTTAGCTTATTTATCACTTTTTCAATAAACAAAATACACAAGGAAAGTTTAGCTTTTTGTTTTGTTTAACAGAAGTAGTAGGTCCTTAAGCACAGTAAATCAAATCCTAAATTTAAGTTTATTAAGCTTATCTACTGTTTTGGTGGAAATCAGATGGAAGTCAATGGTGAGAGTGTGGTGAATTAGAGAAAGATATTTAAACTAGACTTTTATTAGGCACTTCTGCAAATAGAAGTAAGAGGTGTGGAAAAAGATGATGAGTCTGAATTGCATTTCATGCTATGCCATTGCATAGCTGTTGTGGCTGTTCCACAGAAGCTTCTTGTACAGTCACAGTTGTAACAGAAAACTTTACTATTACCAATGAAGTTTTGTGTGTTTTCACAGTAAATGAAGACTTTACTACACTGATTTAAGCACAGATTGTCTTGCATACCCTCATCCAAGAGTAGACTGATAGTTTAGTGTAGTTGTATTCTCAAAATAAAAATCATCCCTTGTAAAACTGTATCCTTACACGAGTTTCTAACCACAATATAGTTTTCTCTATTTTCATTGAATAAAGTTGCATGTGAAATATTTCAAATTCTTGAGCTGCAGACGTTAAAGAGACTAAATATCATCCTTGCAAGAAATCATCATCCAAAGAAAAAACTATGAAAAGGTAGTGTAAATAGTAATAAGTATGATCAACTAATGATGGTATTGAATAATGGGGTAAGTCAAGGCATCAAAAACTCCTTCAGTTCTAGAGAATTTAAATTCTATGAAATCTAGAAGACATGTCTTGAAGTGTATTCTTTATTATCAAAGACAGCTGCTACATGATTAAAAAATGCTGTTAATTGTATTTTGATTCTATACAAAGTCGACTGAAAAATACTTTCTGACTCAAATATTAATTATCTCCTCTTTTCTTGATTGTGTAGTGTTTTGGCTGGATATAATGGTACTATCTTTGCATATGGTCAGACAGGCAGTGGCAAAACTTTTACCATCACAGGAGGAGCAGAACGTTACAGTGATCGAGGCATTATTCCCAGGACCCTATCTTATGTTTTTGATCAATTGCAAAAGGTATGGAACATATTTTCTGTTTATTTTTAATGTACAGTTTACAAATGCTTAACTATTGCTGTTTTTTTAATAGTCTTAGAGGAAACCCTAAAATTAATGTTGAAGAAAATATCTAACTTGACACAATACTGTATGGAAGAATACATTAGTAGTAGTTTTGGCTACCTGGCTTGTTGCAATAGGCTGAAAATAATTGACATCAATGGAGGGTTTTTTTTGTAGGTTTAAAAGCCATGCTGTTTTTGATTTCTGCAGCATACATTCAGATCACATAATTGGTTGTCCTTCTCTTAACACTTATATAAGCTCCACTCTGGTTATGTATTGTATGCATTGCATTTCATTTTGATATTCCATGCAATGAAATGAGTGAATAAGTGAAAGTATGTGCCGGAATAAGCACACTGATAATTCATTATGTTTATTACATTTGCAAGAAATTTCATTTTCCTTTAGTGTCTGAAATACATGAGTGAGCACAGTCAGTCATTCTGGTGCTTTCATAACTATAGAAGGAAAAAATGAAGAGAGGAGTCTTGTGTAATTTATGTTTTTTCTCTTCATTTACTCCACCAGGCCTGCGATTCATTAATCTTCACGTTTTAACAAAGCTATTTAATTAAATCCATTTAAATGTTATTTGGCATCAACGTCAATCATTACATTGTACTTTTATACTCTGTCATTCATGTAATACAGGGTACCAGTTCATATTCATAACGGTATATGTCTCAGTCACATTAACATGCCCTGTGTCAGTAAGGGTTAACTATAGTAAGTAATTACTTTTGCTCTTTGAAAGTATGGCTTTGGCACATAAAAGTACATGATATTGCAGGTGCACAAAAGCTTGTCATTGTGGGAATGGAAATGAAATAAACCCCCGTGTGATCATTTTGCCTTAGACCTTCTGCTGCATTCACATGACCCCATGGAGGACTTTTGGGGTGGAAAGTGAACAAGTTGATTGTGCAATTGCTGGCAATGACCAGTGTCAACACACCAACATTCTCTTCTAATGCTAATTATGTCATCAAAACAAAATAAGATGAAAACTAACCAGTTTATTTGTCATCTTCTTAGCACATAGTTTCTACCAAAATAAAAAAGTTTCCCTCTTCAGATAGGGTTTTGAATCAAAAGCCATACTTAATTACGCTTATAGGGATATTTCTGTTTTCCTGCTTTTAAATCATTTTGCTGCATATATTTTCTTCCTTGGTGCATCGTAAAGAATCTCTTCTTGGTGTTTTATATTTCCACTTGCTTTTCATACCTTTCAGCTCTATACCTACAACTGTGCTTTGGAAGGTGTTGACATAGTAGACAAGACATCTGCCTTCTAACCCTGAGTAGGGTGAAACAGGAGAAAGTGAAATCAGGGACACAAAATACAAAATTTGTGAAGCTCTTAGTTGCACAAAGACAGTGCTGTTTGAAACCAAAGATACAAAGCTTTTTACCCTAAATGAGAAGCAAATCAAGCCCTTTGTTTTTAATGACATCTCCTTTTAATTTAGAAATTCTCATATTTCCACAGTTTCCTGTTTGAACAGTTTCTTACTTCATTTTTTCCATCCATCTGTAGTGTATCTTTTTAAGTCATGTCCCTTGAAATAGTGAACTGTCATTATCAATAAAAAAAAACCCACAGGAAATAACTATTCAATGAAAATGAAAAGTTATATCTTGAAGTATTTTGCAACACAACAGTAATGGATTGGATTATTAAACTTCTGCTGTGATATGAGTGCTTTCACAGTGGCTTCATCTGGCAAAAAGAAGTGACTGGTTTTTGAGTTTTTTTATTTTATTTTGGAAATCATAGCCCACTATTTTGAGGTTTGGGGCAGGAGAAAGTTCTGTCTGCAAAACCCACTTGTGTTAAATTACATTTTGGCAATGTAAAATACCAAAAAATTGTGATTGCAGAGAACAGCAACATCATATACAGTGTTTAAATGTTATAATAAAGGAAGTGAATAGCAGTATGTCACTGATGTTTCTAAATGGAGTAAATCTTATTTTTGTTGTTCCTTGCTTTTTTTTTTTTAAAAAAAAAGCATAGTTTTTCTATCCATAATATGAGGGTTTACCTTTTTATGATAGCATTCTTTTCTTGGTGTAGAAGTGAAAAATGTCATGTTGCATTGTTCTGTAAGCAGGCTCCCATGTCCTAAATATACACAGACTTTTCTAGGTATAAGGAATCAATTAAAAATCCCAGACTAAACTCATGGGCATGGTGGAGTTTGGGTGGGCATTTTTGTTTCAGTGGATTTTATGTGTGTGTGTGTGTGTGTATGTGTGTCTGTTTTAGTTGGGGGTTTTTATTGGGGCTTTTTCTTTTTTTTTTCTTCTTGAGCCTTTATACATATGGTAACAGAAAATATGAAAGTATAAACATATTGATAGTGTACACCATACCCAGGAAAAGAAAAAGAGACCGAGTGAGAAATTAATAGAAAAGCCATAGTGATAAATTTGTCATCTAATTCTGACTTCTCTTTATAGCAGTCCTTTTTTTCTAATTTTTTTTCCTTTTCTTATCTAGGATAGCAGTAAAATGTATACAACTCACGTTTCCTACTTAGAAATCTACAATGAATGTGGTTATGATCTGTTGGACCCAAGGCATGAGGCCTCCAGATTGGAAGACTTGCCGTAAGTAATAGGACCACTTAAGAGAATCATCAAAACCAACAGGAATCATTTTTGTATACCCTGTTGCATTGTTTGGGGACTTTTTTGCAGCTGTGTTACTGATCTCAGTGTCAATTTAATCAGTATACTTCATTTTCTCAATTTTATCACCACTGCTTTAATTTTCGGTAATTTTGTATGTATATTGGCTGGGGAGACTAGATGGGAGTAACTGAAGATGAAAGTATTGAAAGTGTATTTTGCAAAGGAGATCTCTTGCAGCTGCTGAAAACAAGAGAAGGTACTTGTTTTTCCCATGGCAACCTGTCTCTATATGGTATACAGGACTGTGTGGGGCAGAGACATATGTAACAAGCATTATTTCCTTGCAACAGTAGTGAGAAAAGCTCCCTGCTTGTATGTTGGCCTTTTCCTTCAAGGATATATTTTTCTAGAATATACTATTAGGAAATAAGGTAAGTAACAGCTAGAAAATAGGCCACAAAGAACTCCAAAGAACAGGATGTTTACTTCAGAATGGATGATTATTATGATAGTTTTCATTGATCAGACATTAGTAAATAGAGGTTTGTAAGTCATGAACACTCCAGCCTGGTGAAATTAAAATTTTCTAATTTGCGGGAAATCCTAGTTTTTAAGTCTGAAATAATAGTTTATAGTTTTCGCTATTCTTTAAATAACTAAGAAAACAGTAAATATGTATGAATAAGAGAGTTGTTGACTGAATTTGCAAATGTTTTGAAATAATGCTGGGCGCCATAAACTTTTATCACTCAACATAAGGGTAAGAGAAACATGTAAATAGCAATCAAATAACTGCTGATACACGAGCAGGAAATGTACTGAAAACTTGCAGTGGGGAAATAACGGAAAATCAGTTGAATTTTATATTGAAATATCTAATTATGTTATTTACATATTATTAAACCAATGTTATTTATTAAAAAAGTCTTCCGGCACAATATTTTAGTGTGTTAGAATAGAGCTTTAGTTTTCTACACAACACGGGCTATCTAGGACATACTTACAAAAAACTTTCAAGATTGATCTTTATAAAATGAACTAGTCTAGAGATTAGGAAGGCAGAAGAAAAATGCAAAGTATGAGACTGGCCTGTGAATTGGTCTCATTGTTTTGCCTTCTTCACCTGTAAAATGGAAGCAAATTCTAGCACCTTATGACACGTTGGTGCTTTAAAGACTGTGTATATTTACCAATGTCTTTCATGGCAAAGTTTAGAATTTTAATTTAAGTTATTGTCTGCTTCCTGTGCTATGCAGACAAAAAATTTACATCAGAGGCTAGTTTGGGTAATAATTTTTGTGCCCATTTTTGCAGTGCAGATTTTTTCAAGGTTTTATGTTAAAAAAGCATGTTACACTTTATTCAGTTTCTTAAAGGTAATGCTATTAAGTTATTCAAGTTTATTACATTATTAATATGATTTATGAAGTTATTTAACATATTTTAAGTAATTTCATTTGACATTTTATGAAACTGAGTTTATTCAGTTAAAATAAACTGAATTGGATTAATTTAATTGAAACTTTGAAACAGATATTGGGGGGTCATATGGCCTGGAAAATATTTCACATTTTGAAACTAAGTACTGACTGCTAATATTTATGAATTTTAGAGTCTCCAAATTGGTTTATGTAAGCTGATTCAATTAAGCTTGAGAGTAACTCCTTGTTAGGTATAAGACTATTTTAAAAAGTAAAAGTTGATAATTTGGTTATAAATTAGGGATAAAGCACACTGGGATAATCATAATTATCTGTAAATTTACATAGTGTATACTATTGCAGGATGGGTTTTAGTGAGAGAATACATTTTTCTGTGCAGAGTAATCTTAACAAATGCTTTAAGGTTTTACTGTACGTGGGCATTATTATTTCCAGTACATCATTTGTCAATAAAATGTGTTCTGTACACTAAAACTATACCTTGACCAGTCATATTTAACTCATAATGCAGTCAGGGGCAGGGGAGGGGGTATGCACCACCACATGTGTAAAAGTATTTAATTAATACAATATTTTTTGTTTATTTTTTAGTATTGTAGTTGGAGGATTCAAAATTTACAAATATATAGTGTCATTCTGAGGGATTGTGAATTGCAGAAATGAGTAGTTGATTAATTATTTTAATTACTCAATTAATTTTTGTAAATTACAAAGTACAAGTTACATGTAAGTAGTAATCACATATTTTAAAATTTATCAGGTGTTTATTTCCTAATATGTATTTAATGTTTCTGAGAATTTTATGTGCTTAAAACCTTGTAGCGAAATACAAAATAACTTTCTCAAGTTTGTTTGAAAGCCTGTATTTAATGAGAATATTAAAGGAACTAATGTTTTTTGTACTGTAAAAGGGTCTCATTGTGCATAATCTTCTGTTGAACTCCACAGCACTTCTAGGCTTTCAGCACTATACAAATCCAAAGGCAGGATATTTACCCAATGTGCTTGGGTAAATATTAGCAGTCAGTCCTGATACTTTCCCAAGTATTTAAGATGGACAAGAAGAGTGTTGAAGAAACATGTCATTTTAGAAGAGTAAGCAAAAAGATTAGTTAATCATAAAGCATGCAGATTGTTTTGGGAGAATATTTTTTTATCCATATTCCTGCAGAAGAAAGGGATGGAATTTGAATCAGATACATACTTCTGTCTAGCAAACTTTATGTTAATGGGTTTATGTTACTAGTTCAATGAAAAGAATAAACTCAGATTGCACTCAGGTAATACAAGCTATGAAAAGCTCACTACAGGCTTGTTGCTAGTACTTGAAAAATGAAACATAAAATTATATTTGATGTTTAAGGCAAAGTGAATAATATAAACATTTTTAAAATTGTCCATTGCATCTGATCATTGAATGATTAGATTTGGAATATAAGCTCCTGAAGTCAGTATGGCTATACAAGTTCCTTGTATAACCATATTTAGTATTTTCTGTAGACTATGAAATTTTCGTCTTTAACATTGTTTAATCCTTTCATTAGAGTCTGCCAGATGAGAAGGGAAGAAACTCACACAAAAAAATCACTGGTTTTCTGGAAATAAGTTCCTGAAAAAGGCATAAATGTAGTTTATATATCTGCACATTAAACTTGTAATGGAAAACCCCTGGTTTTCTTGATGTTTTGTTGGAATGATATTACATGTAGGCCATAGAAGATATCCTTTGTTATACCTTAATGCTTCTTCCAAAATATGTCTTAGTTTACAATTGTAACTTGTTTTGCTTATACAAAACTGACAGTGTTTTAATTTTTTGACACTGTAGCTGAAACCCAGCATATGCAGATGCAAAAAATATTTGAAGAATCTTACTTGTTAGAATGCACAAACTGAATTTAATATTTACAGTCTAATTCTGTTTGTAGCAGTAGAAAGTTCCATGTTTATGCAAGGAAATTATGATTGTTTTCAAACATATAAAAGTATAAAATTGTTCCTAAAAAATACAGCTGGTGGAAGACCATTTAAATACTTCCTGCCACTTCATGCTTTCAAAAAAGTTTTGCGGGACTGTTCAAATTAGGAATATTTTTCTCAAGCTCTAAATTTGTGCAAAAATTTGTTCAATCTCCAACAGGTTCTCTGTTGTAAGGTATTTGTAATTTGTATAACTCAATGATACTGAATCTGACAAAATTCACTTTAGTTACAACCTGCCAGTACTCTTCCTAACTAGTTCATATTATTTATTAAGAAGTAAAAATTTTCTTGGCACTGAATAATTACAAAAAAGTAAAGGACGTTATAGAGCCGTAAGTCAAGCACAACTTAAGTCATAGACAACCTCTTTACGTGTCATATGGCAGGTGACCATCTTGCATATGAAGGCAAACTAAAATTAATGCTGGTTTGCCTTGCAGTGTTAGCCTTTAAACTGCAATAGTTGAGAAACTACTTCTCAGGGAGCTTAGAGAACCATTAATCAGGAGTGATGTAGCCGAGGGAAAATGCAGTATGAACTTCAAACCAACATAAATGATTCCCCACTTTTGTGTGAAGATTCTATGAAGTTCTCTTTGAGAGGGAGATGTGGAAGTTTAAGTATGATGCTGTCAGACTTTAAAATAAAGCCACACTTGAAGCTAAGAGCCAATTAACTTCGAACATTAACAGTGATGCCTATATCAATATATATTAGTAACATATATTAGAATTTTTATGTTTCATGGGAGCAGTGTGAAATATTTTCACTTTAAAGAAAATCTGTAACTGGATATTGGTTAGCTACCTCAAATGGGTTTGTACTCTTCTATTCTCTACTGCTCTCCAAGGACTTTAGGAGACACCAAACTACTGGCAAACTAAAACAACTAGTATAATAATTCCTATGCTGTTAACAAAGAAGGATAAAAATAAAAAAGGCTAAAGGAATAATTTTCAACATACAGGAAATATACTTTTGTAAGGTTAAACTTTTCTGTTTGTTAATGAGGAGACAGCTGAAAACTGTTCTGAATCATTTCTTCAAAGATTATGATTTTTTTTCAGTACAGTTCAAACAAATTACGCTTTAAATGTATACAATAACTTCAGCGTACATTATATATTGTTTATTCACATCCAGATTTTATGTTGATTTGTTTCCGGAAAACCAGTAGGAAGGCAGTGAAATTTCTCTAAGGTGACTTTTCTACAAGCATTTGATGAGCAAATTAATTCAAGGCAACTTTGCTTGTGAATGTCAAAGCTTATTTAACAATTTTTTTTTTTTTTTTTTTTTTTGCTAAATGAGATGATTGCAGTTGCCTACAAATTGTAACATATTTTGTATGGTTTTCTGTTATGGTTTTTTGAGATCCACCAATCTCATTGTTTCAGTTTGGACTCCTTGTTCAGCATGGTGGCGTGAGGGGAGAGAAACAGTGCACATCTCTTTCCAGATCTCAGTAAGAAAAGCCTGACTACACATGGCTTACTAATGTAGCCGCTTCAATTAGACAGAATAAGAAGAGGAATATAGGTGGCAAGTAAATCTTACATTCCATCAGTGCTGGTGTCCTGCATTTGTGCAACATTGGCCTGAATGGATTTCTCCATGGTGCATTGCACTGAGCAGTACAATTCCAGTCCATGGAGAGAAGCTCTCCCTTTTGACCTCTTGAGCTATTATATAATTTGCTTACAAGAAAACAGCTCCATTCAAGGTGTTTTTATGAGAACTTAGTGGATTTATTGTGCACCAAGGCATCTGTGCAGTGTGACACAGGTCTGAATGCCCCTCTGTGTGTGCAGCACATCGGCTCCGGGTCACTGTTGTGTGAATCATTCCTAAATGTGTAAGTCTCCCAGTCATGTCCATAATATGCAGAACAACCAAAGTGTGGTTTTGTTGTCTCACAACAGAATCCATTGGAGACAGTGGGAAAAACTTCCTATCACAATATGACGTGTCAAGCAAACAGTCTGCATGAATACTTACTCATCTCGTAGTTCTGCCGTGTCTCACATGCCAAGGAGATTATGGTCTAGGTCTATACTTCAAAGAAAAATCAAATCTGTGTGCTACTGAAAGTTGAGTTGGTAGCTGAACAACCTGTAGCCTTGCCTCTTGGATCAGTGTTGACTATGTCCTTTGTTGTGGTATTCAGGGAACTGTACTTCTGAAAGATCATTTTTTGGGGGTGATCTGTAAAATTAATATCTTGATCATTCTTTCTTAAAACCCAAATTTTACAAATCATTAGCAATGTTTATCCATTAATTTATTCTGTTCTTCTAGACTGACTCCCAGGTCCATGCTTGCTTCTTTTCTCATTAATATCTTTCCGAAGTTTATTATTGGCTCTATACTTGCCTGCTCATATTGAAGTAGTATCACTATAATCTCTTTATGTATTATCATAAAAGGTGTGTATCTTCGTGTATTATTTATTTGTATCATTATGATTAATTTTTAATTGCCTATAAAGTTTTTAATATTGTTTTAGATTTCTTCAATTCTAAGCACTAGAGACAGATATAATAATAGGAAATTTGATTTTTAAAAAAGATATTTTTTTCCAAAATATTTTAAGGATTTTTTAAATTATTTATATAACATATGATAGTGCTAATTAATCAAAGGGAGCTTTAACTTCATTGTTTGCCAGTAACAAGAATTTCATAAATTAAAGCATTCAGTGTGTAAGGCTCTTCTGCATTAGTGGCAGCTCAGCTGATGCAGGAAAGGGCCCGAGCTAATAAGAGTATAAGAAAGACTGATCCCATCCTACAGGCTTCCTGGTCAGCTACTAATTCCATCCATTAAGCCAAATGGAAAAGATTCTTTGTTTATGAAGAATACAAAACCTTGTCTCTGCCTTCTTTCAGTCATTATGGATAACTTAGCAAAATTTTTCCACCCAAGTTAGGGCCATGAAATTTAAAGATTTTACTAATATATCATACTATATAGTAACTTTATAAAATTGTAAAAAATAATTTTGTTGTCATTTTGGAACATGCCATTCTACGAAAGTTTTGATAGATGCCTCTCCAGATGTAAAATGTAGGCTTCCATTTGGAAATCTTCCTAATAGTTGCAAGGCCACTGTATAGGAGGCTGTCGCTGTTTTGTCTGCACTGTCTCCTTTCTGATATAATAATCTTCCAGAGCTTTACATCCAAATTTAACATCTTATTTCTCTGGAAATTATTTCACAGAATCACAGAATATTCTGAGCTGGAAGGATCTGTGGTCAAAGTGTAGACTTAAAAGATCCTTAAAAGTTTAAATACTATGCCAAATGTGCATAATAAAACAATATTGTTTTCCTAAATTATGTAGGTGATGCTTACCATGCAATTTCAAAAAAATAAAATTAGTCAGAGCATCATACTATAATCAGAACCACTCTGGGCTTTACTGTGTAATGCATTCACAGCTGGAATTGCAAACAGAATACAACTTGACATTATCAAAAATTTACTAAGCAAGAGCAGAATTATGCTTTGGGGGTTATGCTTTGAATGAGGAAGCTGAGTTTTGTGACTGTACTAATAATGTCTTATGCTACCACACAAAAGTAAGGCTATAAGTGGGAGGCCAAAAGTAAGGCTATAAGTGGGAGGCAATCATACTTGGACAAGCAATTGTTATAAATACTAAAGAAGCATTGTGTGTACTTTTACATGTATTTATTCTTGAAAATAGTGAGTGTAGTGCAATTGTTAAAATTATTTGTGTATGTCCATTCAAATGTTTTGACCATCAGACTGTGAACTACTTCCCCAATATCTAAGAGCAATACTCGGGAATGGTGCTTATATGCTTGATTTGATTTATGAGTTTTGGGGGAAAAAGAAAAAAAAAAGAAGAACAAAACCAAATCTTTCTGGTTTTGAAGCAACTTGAAGTAATTAGCATACAAAAACTATCTACTGATAGAAACTCAAGCCCCATACTCCCTCTTGTGGTTAACCTTGAAGAACATGAAAAAATATGTATATACATGTATGTACACATATAGGTGTATATATATAGATATAAAGTTTATCTATACTTACAGAGTAGAAAATGTTTCTTTTTAGAAGAAAAAACCTCTAACTTCTAAAGGCATTCTAATTTCCTTGTTTTAAATTGTCTCAGAATATGTAATTCACCTTGAAGCATAGGTTATTCATCCTCAGATTAAGTGTACTTCCATTTTAACAGATTCTTCACTCTGGAAGTTTTCCAAATCCAGTGAAGCAACTCCTTGGCTTCCATGTTGGATGCTAAAAAGTGTTCCAAATAAGGAGATATACTAATGGCTACTCAGTAATGCCAATCAAGTTTAACTCTCACTAATCATTTCAAAAGAAAAAAAATCCTATGTTAGAGGACTATTTAAATAAATGAAAAGGGTTTTCATTATTATTTAGCAGCTCTTTTGGAGCTTTTGCCATATCCTTTCTATTTGCATCTAACTTCCTTTCTGTAAACTTTATGGCTTATAGAAGTACAGCTAAGAGTATTTCTGACGTCAGTGGAAATGAATAAAATCATTCTGTTGCCTTGCTTTTAATTCAAGAATGGCATAATTTACAGTTGTAGTTACTACCATTTAAGAAGAATGAAAAGAGAACTAATCTTTACAAATGCAAAGTTTTTAGAAACATGTTGACTGCAGATGTGTTGATTCTGAAATATTTCATGCCTATTTGTACATAAGGATTATGGTATATTTTATGTCTCATCTGTGCTTGGTAATAGGAAAAAAAACCACTTATTATTTGCTTGTGATGATTCATCTAACCTCTTGCTCTTGAGATTTTACTGTATCTCACTAAAATAAAAATCCCAAAGCTTTCTCTAATACTTATAGATTTCATATATCCCTTTTCTATGTGAAAGTTTATAATAAAGGAATAAAAAGAAGGTGAGAGGTTAAAAAAAAATCAACACTTCCTTTTAATGGATATAATTTATTTTTTACTTCTTTAGTTCTTTCATTATGATTGGTTTGGGAGTTTAGACTTCGCCTTTTAGGTGCATGCAATCAAAATGAAAGTCTGGAAGAAACATTGCTTTAAAACTATAGTTTTCATTTGTTGGTTGTTTTTATTTTCCAAGTAGAAAAGTGACAATAATGGAAGACTCTGATCAAAACATTCATCTGAAAAACTTGTCTCTTCAGCAAGCAACAAATGAAGAGGAAGCCTTAAACCTACTCTTCTTGGGAGACACCAACAGAATGATTGCTGAGGTGAGAACTGCTGTTCCAAATCCTCCTTAACACCACCAGAGTTAAAATTGTCATAAACCTCTCCACAAAGATGTATATTTTGGAAATTCTTGGAGATAAATTGGTATCTTCTTTCTGAGTGTATTTCCACAGTGAATGTAAATAAGCATTTCTCTGATGACAGCTTTCACTTTGCAAAGAGCTTTCTGTTTTCCCGTAGTGAATCTGATTGGTGGTTGTTGATGTCATAACTTACTGAAATTCAAATAAGTCGAATATAAAAGTTCTCGTAAACTATAGCCTGACTTTTGAATGTGGCATGTGTCATCATACATATACATTTAAAGATTAGAAAACATGCCCTTGCACAACATTGTCAGCTACAATTCCCACAGAAGTTTTTCCCTGGAAGTGTTTGACACCAGCTTGGATGGGGCCCTGAGCAACCTGGTCCAGTGGAAGGTGTCCATGGCAGGGGGAGTTGGAACTAGATGATCTTTAAGGCTCCTTCCATCCCAAATCATTCATGATTCTATGATTAAGTACTGAATTACCTTTGAAGTGCTTACCATAAGCTATCAGTACCCTCTTTTTTTTGCAGAAACATGTGGTGTTATGTGTAAAAACAAAACAAAACAAACAAAAAAAACCCACAAAAAAAATCCAGCCAAAAAACCAAAAAAAACCAACAGCAACAACAAAACCAAATCAAAAGGAAAAACAAACAAACAAACAACAACAACAACAACAACAAAACAAAACAGAAGAACTCTCAAAACAACCAAATGGTAGTGCAAAGCAAATTCAAATTAAATATGTGCAAATAGGCAAAGACAAGCATGTTTTTACTGATTCTGAAAAATTCAAATGAAACGTTTCCATATCCAAAATCTATAGGATTCTTTTTTTCCTTATCTTTGTGCTTGGCTGTGGAATGTAAATACAAAAAGTGTACAGTAAAATGTGAGCACTCTCAATGTGTCTTTACTACAATACAGTTAATTCTATTTTACAAGTTTGTGGGTTTTCTTCCTCTGTATCACCAAGAAGATATATTATAAATCATTGACAAGGAAGACACTTAAAGCATATGAAATAGTTAAGTAGTTCTGTGTTCCTGCTGGCTGACTATGTACACCTGAGCACAGGGGAAGAAGCACTTGATTACAAAATGTAAATAGGCAAAATAAATATTTGTTCTCTCTTTCTCACGAAGGACGGTTTCAACAGTTACATTTTGAGAGGCAAGAAATAATGAATTTAAGGGCTGTTAATAAATATGAGTATTGAGGCAAGGAACTGCTTCATAATGTTAAAATGGAAAAATTGTAGAGGAGAGGAACTTGAAGCAGTGTAGTAGGAGAGACAAAATGCTGACATTGATTTCAGAGGTTTTAAAACCTATCATGGTAATGAGTAATCGCAGAATATTCAGAGTTGGAAGGGACCCACAAGAATCATCAAGTCCAGCTCTTTACTGAATTAGTCTTGATTAGTATGTGTTGCAAACGACTATCAGCTAATGACTTTTGCTGTACTTTTTCTTTGCATGAAATTACCCAGATGCCTTTTTTGACCCTGCCAAATTTTTATCATGAAATCTGATGTGACACAAGGTTCCATGTCTTAAGTGAATTGTGTGAGGAAAATGTTCTTTAGCTTGTTTTTAAATCTACAGCTTGTTAATTTTATTTGGAGCATGCTAGTACTTGCTAGAAAACAATAAGAATAGACATCAGATTGTGTAGCACCCCAATAGTAGAGAATTCACTAATCTAAATAGCTTGGGTAAGCAAATGCTATGCCAATGTCAGTTTTGCTGCTTTTGCAAGAGTTTTTTTTTTTTATATAAACACTATAAAGTTGCTGTTTCATTGGTCTTAATGAAAAATACTTAAAAGAAAAAATGCTGAGAATTGCTTGGAATAACTACCACATATTACGACAATATTTACTTTGCTTAGTCTGAATGCTAGTATGATTCTCAGAACTCCAAATGAGGTTGATTACATTGTACAAGTTGTTTTTTTTATGTAGTTATGTCACACATTTTTCCTTTATGATTGCAACAGGTATGTTGCAGTACCGTTCAGTGAACTTACTGATCGCTGCTTCCTCTTACCATTACAGAATTTATCCCCATTATTATATGGCGTTTCGGGCTTAAGGTGACTCTGGTACTTTATATGATAACTTATTAGAATAAGAGAATAGTGTTTGCAAAAATTATAGATTAATGTAGACATCTAAGAAAGAGGACTATGATATAAAACATAACTTCTTCTCCAGAGATCCATATTTTTAAATCTTAATTGAGTTATGGTAATACTTTTTGACCTCTGAAGACTAGAACCTTCTTAAGTAAACTAAAGGAAAAGATACAGGATTAATAAACCTAAATAGAAAAGAAAGTAAAAGAAATACTTGATTCATCTTTTTTAATGATGACCAGTTTGGCTGTGGAAAAACTCAGACAACAGTCAGGGATCACATATGAAATTTGTAGCCTCTGAAATTGCGGTCTGATGCTCTACCCCTGAAATAACCCTTCTTTGAAGAGTTGATTATTTTGAAAATAAGAACGACAGTCTAATTTTTGAATCGCCTGTGGTAGTGCAGTCTAACTGGTGATTTGAAGGCTGCATTTTTCCCTCGTTACTGATTATGCTAGAAAGAAAGTGATCATAACGTTAGAAGTATTTTACAGGCTATATTCATTAATTCATTAAATGTCAGAAGCTAAGGGAACATTTATAACTGAGTACTTCTTTCCCACACATAACTGTATAGCTCATGAGAAGGGAAAAAAAGAAAGCTAGTCTAATTTTTGTAGAATTACTTTATTAGTCACTGTAGAACTGGTCCTTTCCTCTATTTTTGA